TCGATATTCATAATCCGAAAAAAGCGTTGCTTTCCATAATAAATACGCCACAGCCATAGGGGTGCTCCTAGCCAACAATTAACTCTCTTGTCATTTTGTTGCTTATTCATTTTTTTTATGAATAGCGACCCCCATTCGGCATTATAAAGAGCGACCTTCATTCTGTTTTATGAATAGCTACTCTCTTCTCAAATGATAAATATCGACACTCTTCGATTAAGATTAGCTATCCTTATGAATAATTACCCTTTTCTCAAATTATAAATAGCGGTTCTTATAATAATGGTCCTAATAAATAGCGGTCTTTATGAATAATGGTCATTATAGCTAGTTGGCCTCGGGGGGGGGGGGATTGGTGTCCGTTTATGTGTCTTGGATGAGCTTGGATGGGCTTGGATGTGTATTAACGGGGGGCACGGTGGGTATGCTTTTTTTTATTAAAAGTTGCAATTAGATTTAAGTAAAGATGATAGATTTAATTAAAGATGGTTAATTTTGATAATCGGGGAAACAAGATCGGTCAATCTTCATTGATTACTATTTGCAAATTAATTCATCCTTGCTGAACCTATTTAAAAACTGAATTTATAAATCATCCGAAACGAGCTGAACGGGTTGAACGTAAACCAATTTGTAACACTAATTGTAACATTAACCCTAGTCCTAAACCTAGATATAATCCTTAACCCTAGATCTAACCCGTAACCTTACCCTAGTCCTAACCCTTGTCCTAACCCTAACTCTAAACCCTGAACCTCACCCCAGTAACAACCCTCTCCCTGACCATAACCTCAACCCTAAAATCATTATTATTGATGGTGGATTATTCTGCAGTTTGCCCTAACAGGTGTTTTGCCTGATGTTTTAACTAAAATGCTACCCGCCACTTCCTTATTTGTGTCGATCGATCGACTTTACGGCGATCAAATTCAGAAGGGGGGATAATTTGTGTTGGATGCGTGTTACGGGGGGGGGGGGGCAGTATGGATATTTTTTTGAATTTTTCATCAACAATTGCATTTTGATTGAAAAATAGTTAATTTTGATAATCAGGGAAACAAAATTGGATAAAGACGGCAATCCTCAATGTATTAATATTTTCAAATCATTTAATCTTAAATTTAACCTGCTTAAAAAAAGGATTTCTAGGTAATCCAAAATGAGCTGCATGGGTTGAACAGAGCAACACTAATTGTGACCTCAACCGTAGTCCTAAAATTGCCCTAACCCTAGTCATACCCCTAACCCTTGTCATAACACTTAACCTTACCCCAATCCTAGCTTAACCCTATTTCTAACCCAGCCCCTGTCACTGACCCTAATCCTAACCCTAATTCATTATCATGGATGGTGGATAATTCTGCAGTTAAGCCCTATAGGCCGTTTTAGCTGATGTTATTAATAAAAATTAATGAACCCCCGCTCCTTTTGTATATGTCCGATTAGACGACCATCGATCAAATGTCAAAACAAGAAGAACAAATATTTTCTTTAAATGGAAGATTATCCTGATGAATAATTTGCAGATTAGGCATCATGCAACAAACAAAACTGTTAAAAAATTCTTTTAAATGAAGCCAATTGATAAGTTTATGACACTAACAAGAAAAAGCGGAAAAGTACCCTTTTTTTAAACCATTAGTATTAAAAACGTAAATACACATGCACTTTGAAATATCATGATAGAGAGTGTTGTTATTATTCAACAATCATGATATGCGACCCATCCCGAAATTTTTCATCTGCAAAACAAAATTAAAGATAAATTTGAAGAAAAAAAATAGGGGTTTGTCTCAGTTACTTCGGATATTTTACTTCCAATTTTACAGCGACAGAATTATGAGACTACGTACCGTTCTTTACAGTGGAAAAAGCCCTCTATTGACTCTTTTGCAATCGACGCAAATAAAGAAATTGAACTACGCAAGTGGCTCATAGTCTCTTTCTTCAGGCTCATTTACTATATGAAGCGTTATTTGACATATTCATTGTAAAGTGTAGAAAAGAAAGAACAAGAAAAGACAACAACAAAATGAAAGGAAGAAGTTTTTACAAAGCTGTTTAGTCGCCGCTATACCCGAATATAGTCAAATTTATGGATTATCGTTATTTGCTGGATAAAAGCACAATTTTTGGTACAGGGCTTCGTTAGGACTTACTAAACGATATTAGGCTAAGAGCCCCCGGCAACAAAATCGATTAAAGGGTGTGGGGGCGGGAGCGTCTTTTTGGAGCCCCCAAATAATTTTACAACATTGATTTGTTGCTGTACAAATGCCGTTTCTGGTATAGGGCTCCCTTAGGACCTTCTGAACTATATTAGGGAAGGAGCCCCGGCAAAAATATCATATAAGGGTGTGGGTGGGGGCGTCGCCCCGTAGCCCCCAAATATTTTATAAGATAATATAACATTGGGTTTTTGTGAAACCCATGGGGCCCCAAATCGCACATATATGAATAATTATGCCGGGGGCTTCTACCCTACCATCATTCAGCACAGGCGCGGATCCGGGGGGGGGGGGGGTAGTGAGCACTATTTTTTAAATTTGTTTTGCTCCCCAAAATTAGAAAATCGCGCCGGCCGAATTCGCTCAGTGGGGGGGGGGGGGTGGAGTGTCGAAAATTTAAAAATTTTCACCTCAAGGGGGAGGGGGGGGGGGTTCGGGCTCCCCGGGCCCCACTCCCTGGATCCACCACTGATTCAGCAGGTCCTAATGAAGCCCTGTACCAAAAAGGATGACTGTACTACAAATCTCAATGTTATAATACCTTATGAATTTTATGTGGTCTACGAGGCGACGCCCCCGCCCACACCCTTAAATGATATTTTTGCCGAGGCTCCTACCCTACTATCGTTCAGTAGGTCCTAAGGAAGCACTATACCAAAAATGGTGCTTTTGATCTGGCAAGTAACGGTAATTTCACTAAGCCACCTGAATATTGGACTATGGTGATTATTATTTGGTCATCAATGCCGATCAACTTATTGTTAAAATGTGACAAACATTTATCTTCATGTGATTTATACCGCCTTGGGAGAGAGAGAGAGAGAGAGAGAGAGAGGGGGGGGGGGGAGGGAGAGAGAGAGAGAGAGAGAGAAGAGGGGGAGGGGTGATGATGACATTGGTGATGACAATGATGACTCTCCCTGTTGAATTGCACGACAAGGTTTATTTTTTTCTGTAGTTACATGTACTTATTTCGATTTAGTCATACAAAACATTTGAATTTAAAATGCACATTAAAAGGTATAAGTTTACTTGTTTTTGATAAAGGAAATTGCTTTAAGGAGTGGGATATTATTAGTACATGCTTTAATATTATTGTATAAATATCATTATTATACATGTATCATCACCATCACCCTTGGTGCCATCATCATCACTACTACCATCATTTTCACCACCACCATCATCACTACTACCATCATCATCACCACTACTACGATCACTATCATCATTATCACCACCACCATCATTACTACCATCATTATCATCACTACTACCACCATCATCACTACTATACTATCATCACTACCATCATCATCGTCGTCACTACTACCATCATCATCACCACTACTACCATCATCATCACCATCATCATCACTACTACAATCATCACCACCAGCATTACAACTTTCATTATCACCATCATCACCACCATCATTACTACCATCATTATCATCATCATCACTACTACCACCATTACCACCACCATCATCATTACTATACCATCATCACCACCATCATCATCGTCGTCGTCACTACTACCATCATTATCCCCACTACTACCATCATTATCCCCATCATCATCATCACCACCAACATCGTCACTATTATCATCATCATCTTCATCTATTCACAGTAAAGTTTTCAATGAATTCGGTGTTGTCTGCCAAAGTTAGCTTACAGTTTAAATTTTGATATTAAATATGCAAATCATGTAAGTTCCACTGCAAACCACCCTTAATGCAGAGATGCCAACTTTTGGAAATCAGAAATAGGGAGGATTTGTAATCGACACCAATTAATGTGCGCGTAGCGCACATCTCGAGCGCGTAGCGCCCGACACATGCGGCCGGGGTCCAGGGCCCGCCTTAGGGCCCTGGAAGCTCTGGGGTTCTAGATGCTCTCTGGTGCAATCTGAGCCTTATTTTGGAGCATTTTACATGTGTATTTAGTTAAATAATTCCCCCTTTTTTTTTAAATAACATAAAAATTGTACAAAATGCATGATGAATTACTTTCAGACTTCCGATTACACAGGTACTTGATACTGTATTCGGTCTTATACTTCCGAGACCATTTCCTGGTCTTATTTTGCTGATTTTCCGCCATTTGGATTCTGTGGCAATATCCACGCATTGGTTACGGCGATCCATATGCTGAAACAATCTTTCGCTACTCTTAATTTGTCTTTTAACATAGTGGAATTATTACATGCTTAAGTTAGCAGATGATATTTCTCTTTCAATTCACAGATATATATACTGATAAGCGCCCTCCAAAAAAAATCATAATAAAAAAAAAAATAAAAAAAAAAAAAAAAAAAAAAAAAAAAAAAAAAAAAAATCATTTTTTTTTTTTTTTTTTTTTTTAATAAATCGGGAGGATAAGGATGGTGATCGTAAGGTCGGGAGTTGGGGTGAATTATCGGGAGGGTTGGCATCTCTGTTAATGCTGTGGTTCATAATTTGAAGCAGTTGATAATTGTCATAGATATTACAAATTCAAAATTATTCAGTCTAGTCCATTTTCAAGGTGGCATATTTTTACAAGTTTTATCTTTCTTATTGTAATTTTAACACAACTATTGTGAGAACATGAAAACAGAATTTAAAATTCTTGATTTCAACAATTACACCATAAAACTTTCATCCATTTGAAAACGTTACAACTACATGTACATTTATTTCTAAAAGGGCCCTAATTCACCCAGTCAACCTTTCATTCTTCAGTTACAAAAAAATGCATCCCCAAAAATCACATTTACAAGGAGTATGAATAATTCACTTGTTAACTCTATATTTTATATCTCAAACAATATTGTTGACATTTTCGTAGCACATGTACATTGCAAAAAGGACATGTACACGCATACAGTGTAAGCCCATTGACATAACATGATGGAACTGACAAGGAATATCCATTAGTTCACAGCATATGCTCTGAGGAAAAGTAGAAATATTGAAGAAATACATTGGTAAAAATGTAATGAACTGGATAATAATAACAAATTATGAAATATTCTAAGTTATTCCATAATACACATATATACATGTAATATGTATGTTAATTTCAATTAAACTGTTCTGTAGTTGTGATGTTATGTGGACAACCCTCACATTTGCTTTTATTGACGCAAAAAATACATTACGGGATAAGAGAAATGTAATTGCTTTGGAAATACTTTCTTGGCATCTACTAAATGTCCCTTTACTTGCTGGTTATAGTGAACAATACAAACAATGGTAATTAATCAATCAGCAGTTTTTCTATCTTTAAGTCCTCCAAACTATATTAGCTATAGAAACTACATGTACAAGATTTGATATACCCGAACACATGTTCATTTAGATCATTTGCTGACATTTAACAAAAAAGATCCATTACTTATTTCATCTGGGGACAAAATAGTATCTCATTTGAAAACTTACATTTTAGTTGATACGTATAGAGAATATATGTAACAATCTTACCTCAATCTTACATTATTCTTTACACTACCGTTTTGGAAAATTATGACATATTTTTTTTTGTAATGAACAAAGTATTATGCTGAATCATAAATATGCAATTATTACAGCTTTGATACCAAGGAAGAATCATATGCAACAAACAAACATGTACATATTCACATCATTATGTATACTCATGATTTTTTTTTTTTTTAAAGCTATCCTCACACTTTTTCCTTCTGAATATACAATGAGGTATAACATACCTTTTAGATTCAATGGCGATTTAATCAATTCATAGTGAGCATGCTGTAAATATATTCTTACTTGACCAACTATACCTGCATGTATCATAATGCAAATGCATTTTTCTGAAATATTGAAAATAAAAGAGCACTGTTTATGTACTGTTAAGCCAGGATGTGAAAATAATTGCACAGGAAATGACAAGAATGGTTGATGATACTTTTTTTTGTTTGGTAACATGCATTACAAAGACATTAATGTATGGAAATTATGGAAGTATAACATCCGTGCATGTCAGTTGAAGGAGTGTTCTAAAATTCCCTTTTTAGGAAACTTCCAACTTTAATTTTAAGACTACAACAAATTTAAAGCGTTTTGCTGCTTTTTCTCATCAATTGATGTACCTAGTAACATGCTATTAAAGTAAATCAATGCGGTTGTAGTGAAGAGAAAAGAATTGCACTAACTCGTACATGGATCCTGACAAGATTCAGATAGTTAGACAGTGAAATTTTTATGACTTACATTTTGATTTTCAAATGACAGTGTTTCTCCCTTTTACATTTTAATGTTTGATGAAATTAATAACAAGCGTACTGAACTGAAATATTGCCAATTAAAAAGCATTGTTTATGTGCTACAGTATAAAGCAACATTCCTTTTGAAGGAAAGGATAAATGATCCAATATAATGTCTAACTATCTGATTCTTAGCTTCCTTCACCTTCACCTTCACCTATCCCACAGTCTGGCTGACCCTTGGGGCACCACTGAAGATTTATACTACCAGCTTCCTCCACTCCTCGTGGTTCTTGGCTTTACGAAGTATGATGTTTCAGTCAAGGTCACTCGTTAATGTTGTCTTCCCATCGTTTCCTCTGCCTGCCTTTTGGTCTCCCTCCTTGTACTGTTCCATGTAGAATAGTCTTGGCCAGTCCAAATGATCATGTGACATACCCATACCACTTTACTTTGCATCTTTTCACTGAAGTCAGGAGGTCTTCATACGGCCCTATGGTGTTTCCAATTCTGATTTTCACTACCTCGTTGGTTATGTGATCTCTATACCAGATACTGAGGAGTTTGCGGAAACATTTCATCTCCAGTGCCTGTATCCTTCTTTTAATGTCTGCTGTCATGGTCCATGTTTCACATGCATACAAAAATATGGACATATGGACAAGATCCTATAACCGATTTTGAATGGGTGGTATTCGTTTTCGACTGAAACACTGCACATGTGTGTTACTTCCAGCCTGCATAGAAAAAGAAGAAAACGATAGCGTGAATGGTAAAAATACAACAATCGCGTAAACAAATCAAAATTGATTCTATCAGGGTTTTACAAAAGGTCTCTAATAAAAAATTTAAAATCATATCAATTATTTAACCTCCATGTAACAAATAAAGTGGGATAGACTTCTTTTTTAAATTCATGTATGCTCCAAAGCCTTTCTTTTAGGAATGAATGAATGCATCTAATTAAGAACACAAACTGATTATTATCGAACATGTCATTATCAAGTCCCTAGATATCATTCTTTATATACTGTACATTTATCTATAGAGAGAATGATTGGAAATTCAATTTTAAATATATATCTAAAGGCTATCCTCCTACATACGTGGAAAAGGTTCTCTCATACTGTAACCACTTTGACATATAATCTATTAAGAGGTAATGACCACATCATCTTGAAAAGCCTTGTGAGGCATTTTTTCTATCTACACATATAAGTTATAAAAAAAAACATGAATGGTGCCACTTGTTGATTTCCCCTTTCTGTAAAGGAGGTTTAATTGAAAATTGTATAGTTTAATAGAACCATGATCATAGATTTGCAGGATATCCTCCTGAATATGATAAAGTTTATGGGTGAGTGTATATTACATGTAGGTACATAATAATTACAGTACTGTTTCATCAGGGTTAGCATTAAAACAGTTATAAATCAAATCACGAAAACATGAAAATATGAACTTGCAAAGATGCATTACAATTAATCTATAACTATTTAATTATATTGCGAAAGTGTATTGGAAAAAGAGGGAATGTTCACTACACACACTGATGAAACTTGGTTATCAAAGGGGAAGTCTACCTTGATATAATGATGGTTTTGAGAAAAGCAGAAAAACTACAGACAAAAAACTCAATGACCAAAACAACACGTCTGCAACTACACACTTAAAATAGTTGGGCAAAAAAATGCCCAACTTTTAACCAACACTGAGCAACATACGGTCCACACAACTATTGGTTAAAATCTGCCCAACTGATGTTGGGTAATCAGTTTGCTATGTGGTTGGGCAAATCAAATTGCCCATCAGTTGGTGACCCATCATATTTTACCCAACTCTACAATTGCCTAACAGTTGGTTATATTTTCAGTTGGGTAATTTCTTGCCCAACCAATTTTACCCAGTTAGATATTGCCCAACCTTCTATTTGCCCAACTTTTGAGTAAGTTTAATGTTGGTTAATTAAATGCCCAACCAGTTTTTACCCAACTCCCAGTCTGCCCAACTATCAAAACACCCATCTATTGGGTAATAATTGCTCAACAATTTCTCTGCAACATCCATTTGCCCAACTCTCAAAACACCCATCTATTGAGTAATAATTGCTCAACAATTTCTCCACAATATCCATTTGCCCAACTATCAAAACACCCATCTATTGGGTAATAATTGCTCAACTATTTCTCCACAATATCCATTTGCCCAACTATCAAAACACCCATCTATTGGGTAATAATTGCTCAACTATTTCTCCACAATATCCATTTGCCCAACTCTCAAAACACCCATCTATTGGGTAATAATTGCTCAACAATTTCTTCGCAATATCCAGTTGCCCAACTCTCAAAACACCCATCTATTGGGTAATAATTGCTCAACAATTTCTCCGCAATATCCATTTGCCCAACTCTCAAAACACCCATCTATTGGGTAATAATTGCTCAACAATTTCTCCGCAATATCCATTTGCCCAACTCTCAAAACACCCATCTATTGGGTAATAATTGCTCAACTATTTCTCCACAATATCCATTTGCCCAACTCTCAAAACACCCATCTATTGGGTAATAATTGCTCAACTATTTCTCCACAATATCCATTTGCCCAACTCTCAAAACACCCATCTATTGGGTAATAATTGCTCAACTATTTCTCCACAATATCCATTTGCCCAACTATCAAAACACCCATCTATTGGGTAATAATTGCTCAACTATTTCTCCACAATATCCATTTGCCCAACTATCAAAACAACCATCTATTGGGTAATAATTGCTCAACTATTTCTCCACAATATCCATTTGCCCAACTTTTTAATTCGTCTGTTGGATAATCATTGCTCAACATTTTTTCCATAACATCTATTTGCTCAACTCTTTTTCTCATCTAAAGGGTAATAATTGCTTAACTGAAACACAAATAACATACACAGTAAACACATGTTGTTGTTTTCATCAGAAACGTAAAAACAAAACTTGTTCACATCAACTACAACATTACAATTTTTGGTGAAAAAAATACAACCTTTTAAAAAAAGTAAATGCAAATATAGCCCCTGTTTGGTGCAGCATGACAACTTTGATGTACACTGTATGTATCCCATGTACTCCCATGTGTGGCATAGTGTTCATTTATCCTGACACACCAATACTCTGCCTTAGAGTGTTACACATGCACACATTTTTTTGAAGTGAAAAAAAAAGAGGAAATAAATTCAAATCCCTCTAGATTATTTGACATGTGCAGAAGTACCACATGAAAGTTTGGCTATCTGTGATGGTGAACAGGTACTGATCAAATAACAAGGATACACACTGCCTACTATAACTTTTTGATTAGATTAAAGACAACAAAAATCAATTGACCCTACCTGCTATACTCAGTTTGATTGATTTTATTGATATTATCAATAATATCAATACAATTTTGCAAAATGTAGATGAAAATGTTGACTTCTCTACTTCTGCTTTGCGCGATGTAAATTAATGCATGCAGTCCATTCAGCAGAGAGTTCAGCGTAGGGTCAATGGACGATACACATTACATGAAAATTAATGGTATATGTAATTTACAATCATATACCCCACTTGCTGTTTTAAACGTCATAAATATCATAGCTCATGTTTTATGAAGAAATATATCATTTTGATGTACGAGTTATGAAACAGTACTCTTGGGATTAAGACCAAACACGATAAGCATTTGTATACGCCAGTGCAAAAGATTTATAGCCAATAATATGTTTTGTATTTATACTTGGCATATATTCATTTGTTTTCTTAAACTTTCAAGGTGGGGATGTTAAGCAATGATTGGGATAAAACAATTAGGCCTTTATCATTTTTAAAATGTACACAAAGACTTCTGCTGTGTATAAATTCTCTCTTTTTTTTATATTATTCAGCGATCCTCACCCCACCCTCAAATCTTCAGTCTTACACAAACATGTCTAAATTATGTAAAATAATGTGCTGAATCCAACTCATAACAGTTTGTCTTTAAGGTTATTTTGTCCAAAATAATACTTTTTTCCAGTTTTTTTTCTCCCAAAATAAACTGGTTCAAGTAGCCAAAATGTGCTAAACGATGATGTGTCAGTTTCATCTGTAGGAAATATATCACCAGTAATCATCCTTGGCGTGAACACATCATGATGGCTTATGGCATGTTCATGAAGGCTCGGACCTCCCGCAGCTTTGGTGTAAGATGCTCCCCATCGGTAAACTGGAACACCACAATCTGGAGAAATTTCCAAACAGAACAGCTTTGCGGCTGATATTCGATATCCATCACATAAAGTGCCTTAAAGCACAAGTCGACTGCTTTAAGCAGTGTTGCGGCAGGAAGTATCCTCCTCTCTACTACGACGTACGCCTGTATTGGTGTGAGAATGTTCCCACGCACAACAACAAATGGCTGTGACCTGACTGCTTCATCAATGTTATCAACATAAGTCTGGATGTCGAGAACCTCCTGTAGTCCAAAGAGAAATCAAGAAGAAATCATTTGTAATTATATGGATTGATATATATATATTTGATGCTTGTCGAATGCTTCTGCTTATGAATCCACAATCACCTACAGGACACCCAAATTTGTTTATGCATGTTCATCCCTGTCCCATCAAAACATTACTGGGTATTCTTACATATCCCTGCGGCAAAGGTCAACTGTACCCAAACTGGTCACGTTCAGAGCATTACATCAACTAAGCTGGAAGGCATATACAGCCTGTTAATATAAGCATGCATTTTTCACATGTCATTTGCAGGTTAAAGGACTTGCTTGCATTCATGAGTGAAATGCGATGTGATGACAAATCTGAGGCCATTTGTAGTTGTACCACAGATAATGACGAACTGACTTATTAAGATTAAAGCGCCTAGTGTTGCCCCTGCAGGGCCTCCTTGGGGACCAGCGTGCCCATTACTAGGAACTTGAAAATGGTTGCTTTTCAAGTTTTACACAAATAAAATGTTATGGCAATGCCTTATCTGGTAAGAACATATAGGTATTGCATTTCAACCTCAATTTCATCAGTTGTCCTAGGTTTGAAACTCTTAACAAATTAACTATTGAATTTGTTTGTAATGAAATATGATTACTATGGCAAGATTTTAAACACAAACCAAAATATATGCCTTACATGTCATTACTTTACCACCTCCCCAGCACATATACTTACTGGTTGAACGTCAATGAAGGACGACAATGTTTCTGCAGTGGTGTACGTTCCTCTCTTGGAATCTTTCCTTCCTCGGAACAAGACTGGGAGCATGTAGAATCCAAGATTGCTCTTTTCCTCTAAAAAGAGGGAAACAATGAAAGAGTTAAGTAATTAAGTCCCAATTACATATGAAGAAAAGGTGCAACAGCAAACAGGTCAATTATGGAACATCTTACAAAATGTACAGTTATATACAGCAAATTAAAAATAACGGTCGAATACAACAATTATTTTCTACAAATATGGGTAAAATCACTCAACGTAAATGTCAGTCAGTAATTTGGAGCTCAGCTTTCTGAGTAAAGAAAATCAAAATTGCACAAACTTCAGCATAGCCTTCCCAATGAGCTTTAAACCACCATCCCCACCCCAAAAAGCAAACAAACAAAACAAGCAAGTAAAAGTATGCTAAACCTTTGTCATGGAATCATGTTTTTATCATATGTTGTACATGTATTATATGTTTCAGAGCACTTTTATTTATTTCAGTTCAATTCCTTACAGGGG